GTGAAGAATGGGCGAAGCATTGCTGACTGCACAGCCACGCTGGGCCTCGGGGTGCTGCTGGAGCTGAAGGCGGTCTGTAAGCGGTCTGATCCCCACGCAACCACAAACTTTGCTCCTCCCGCACCTGCAAGACTGAAAGCTGGGCTTGAGTCTAACCCCACCTAAGGAAATTCAGCCCAGAAGGATTCTTGCAGGACAAGCAGATGTCATCAGGCCACTCCAGCCCCGCAAATGTCCAAATGTCTCTCTTTACAGGAGATATTGCTTTTTTGATGAGGAAAAAAAAAAAAAAAGGCTATTTCCAGTTAAGCACTTACAAAGTAGTTGCTGCATGCCATCCACTGGTTTTGGTAGATATATATACAGCAGAATAGTGGATCTGCTGGTGTACTGGCCAAGGCCAAGAGCCAGGAAATCCATACAGATCTCCCTTGTGGGTGACGAGGACCCAAGTACTTAGGCCACCACCTACTGCCTCCCAGAATGCACTGGCAGGAATCTGGGTTAGAAACAGAGTGTTGGGCCCCGCGCGGTGGCGCAAGTGGTTAAGTCCTCACCTTGCACGCCCGGGATCCCATATGGGCGCCGGTTCTAATCCCGGCAGCCCCGTTTCCCTTCCAGCTCCCTGCCTGTGGCTGGGAGAGCTTTGGGACCCTGCACCCGCGTGGGAGACCTGGAAGAGGCTCCTGGCTTCGGATCGGCATAGTATCGGCCCGTTGCGCTCACTTGGGGAGTGAATCATTGGATGGAAGATCTTCCTCTCTGTCTCTCCTCTCTGTATATCCGCCTTTCCAATAAAAAAATAATAAAAATAAATCTTTAAAAAAAAAAAAAAAAGAAACAGAGTGTCCAGGTCTCAAACTGGCACTCAATACAAGGTGCTGGTGTTACAAGCAGAGCCTTAACCCCATGTGCCACAACATTTGTCCTTCTTGGGGCCTTTAAAAATATTTAGTTATTTAAAAGGCAAGATTACATAGAGAGAGGGGAAGAAACAGAAGTCTTCCATCTGCTGCTTTACTTCCCAAATGGCTGCAACAGCTGGAACTGGGTCACTCTGAAGCCAGTAGACAGGAGTTTCTTCCAGGTCTCCCACGTGGGTGCAGGAGCCCAATGACTTGGCCATCCTTTGCTGCTTGTCCAGGTCATAGAGCAGGGAGTTGGATTGCAAGTGGAACAGCTGAGAGTCAAACCGGTACCCATATGGGATGCTGAATGCTGATAGTCATAAGGAAGGCCGGCACTGCAGGCAATGTCTTCACCTACTGAGCCCCAGTAGTTGTCCCTTGGGCGTTTTTTTTTTTTTTTTTTGGACGCGGAGTGGAGAGAGGGGAGAGACACCTGGGGGCATTGATGAGGGCTCATATTCATGACACAATCAGTCCCCAGGCATCACACCCCCTAATGCTACCCACTGGGGGCTGAGATCTCAACATCTGAATTGGGGAGGGGAAGGTCACCAACATTCAGACCATAACACTGCTGTTCTTATTTAAGAAGGTACTGGCCAAGAAATCAAAATTATTCAAAGCAGTGACCTCAAGGGAGTGGGATTAAACTCAGAAAATGAGAGTAAGGATCTGCTTTTCATGGTGAGCTCTCCTGTGCTGTTTAATAGGTCACTATGTATATGAACTACTTCAGTGCAACGTTTTAACGTTTTCTTTCCAACAATGTAGGTCAGACATACAAACCTGCTCAAAGTTGCCACTGCCACATTTCCCTGGGCTTCAGGACCTGAGGACAGGGTAAAATCAGGTACGGTGGCTGAGCACCTCCAGCATGGCACATGCTGCCTGGCAGCGTGACACCCAAGCCGTCAGGTCCACCTAGGAGCCATCCAACCTTCCAGCCACGTGGCCCACTTATCTCCGTGGCAACACAAGGATGCTATCTGCAGGCCCAAGGCTGGTGCAGACTCCTGGCTTCTAGTCCCGGGCCTGCTGGCCGCCCATGGGATCTATGGATCATCGACTGCTTCTGGCTGTGGACACAGGGCAAATTGTGATTTGGGTAGCAAGGAAACATTTTCCTCCTGTATGGCTCTTTGTACTAGCCAGTCCAAGCTATTCAGACAAATGCCAGTGGTCCCAGACTTCCTCTCCTCCCTTGGGGGACCCAGATGTGGACAGGGAAGGAGATATGGTCTCTGGCTGGGCTTTTTTATGTTGTTGTTGTTGTTGTTACAGGACACAGTTGTTTGGCGGGGGCACAGAGGCAAGCACTGGTTTTCTATCAAAAATAGCAGAACTTTTTTTTTTTAAGATTTAATTAATTTTTTTATTGGAAAGTCAGATTGTATATCTAGAGAAACTGACCCTGGGCATCACCCACATGCTAGAATCTTCTCTAGGTGTGACAGAGATGAGCATCACTGAAAAACACCTGCTGAACATTGTAGGATTTCTTCCGGGAACAGGAAAATGTGTGTGTGATGCTTGAGGATGTGAAGAACTGTTATGATGCCCAATGGCTTCCACCTGACCTGGAGTGTTGAAGCTGGGTGATAACATCAGTGCCCAGAGTAGCATGACAGTTAATGACGTCTCAAAACTGACTCAGACAGTCTTCCTCATACTCACTTTCTAATGTACCAACTCTGGCCGACCTGGAGGATGACATACATGAAGGTACCTGAAGGAATTTCTCCTCTGAGTTAGAAGTCACTTGCCTCCCTCTTGCAGGGCCCAGCACGGTAGCCTAGAGACTAAAGTCTCCACCTTATACGTGTCAGGATCCCATATGGGTGCTGGTTCTAATCTTGGCAACCCCACTTCCCATCCAGCTCTCTGCTTGTGGTCTGGGAAAGCAGTCGAGGACGGCCCAAAGTCTTGGGACCCTGCTCCCACGTGGGAGACCTGGAAGAAGCTCCTGGCTCCTGGCTTCAGATCAGCTCAGCTCAGCTCAGCTCAGCCTAGCAGTCAGTTGGGAGTGAATCATCGGATGAAGGATCTTCCTCTCTGTCTCTCCTCCTCTCTGTACATCTAACTGCTCAATAAAAATAAATCTTAAAAAAAGAATCACTTGCTTCCCTCTTGTAATATGAAGCATCAAAGGAACATACTACAGTATTTTATCATGTTCCATCAAACTAAAAGCTCCAGTTTTAGATTCTTAAGACCCTGGAAGAAGGGTAAAATGTAATGTAGATCAACAAAGAAAATTTTCATGAAGAAAAAAAAAGAGGAGAGGAGGAGAGACAGAGAGGTAGATCTTCCATCTACTGATTCACTCGCCAAGTGGCTGCAAGGGCTTGAGCTAAGGAGTCAGGAGCCTCTTCTGGGTCTCCCACATGGATGCAGGGTTCCAAGGCTTTGGGCTTTCCTCAATTGCTTTCCCAGGCCACAAGCAGGGAGCTGGATGGGAAGCAGGGCAGTCAAGGTTAGAACCAATGCCGGTATGGGTCCCGGAGCATTCAAGGCAAGGAGTTTAGCCGCCAGGCTTTTGCGCCAGGCCCCTAACAGCAGAAAGTTTAATCAGAAAAATTGCCAAGCTGTTGAGCCGACTGATGTAGGAAAGCAAATTCACACTCCAGGCCGTGCCTCCTGCCCAGTGCCCGGTCCCTGACCCCGTGCCTTTCTCCTGTGCCCAGGGTACCTGACCCCAGTCCCTTGGCCCACCCAAGGGACTAGAAAGCTTCCCACCAAGGATCCTCCTGCTTTCTTCTGTCCATCACCCCACATCTTTGTCTCCAAATGTATCAAGCTGTCGCTGAAACCATCTGTCTCCCCCAGGCAACTTGGGACTGCACACTGGACCCTCAGGCTCCAGTCTGGCTTTCTTTTTTTGGGTCTGTACCATTTGAGCCCACATGGTATTTGTAACATTTTTTTTGGTATTCATTGCCAAAAACCAAAAATCAAGAAATTTTAAAATGTATTTATTTGAAAAGCAGAGTGACAGAGAACTCTTCTATCTACTGGTCCACTCCCTCAACTGGCTGCGCTGGCTCAAGCTGGGCCTGGTGGACACCAGCAGCCTGCACTCTTTCCAGGTCTCCCATGTAACCCACAGGGGCCCAAGCAGTGGGGCCATCCTCTGCTGCCTTCCCAGGTGTCCATTTTACAGATGGGGAAAGTTGGTTACTGAGATTTCAGCGGTTTGACTATGGTCATCCACTTTACTAAGGCATTCCCTGTGCTTGGCAGCCCTTGGGTCCCCCTCCACCTTCCTCCATTTAAGGGAATTGCCTGCTTCACTGGATTCCTTCAGCCTGGAGTCCAATTCCATCGAAGAGGCAGGAAACGCCATACTAGTCCAGGACAGGAGCACGCAGCAGGCTCTGCCGCTCAGCCGCATCTGCCCTGGGCTGGCATTTTCAAGCTGCTCTGCAGACTGTCCTCTGGTAGGTGAGGCGGCTTCAGGCTTCTAGTCCTGCCTCCTCGGGATCCTAGCAGCTTCTCTTCGCTAGTAGTTCCAGAAAACATCTCAGACCTGATTCCTACTGGCCCAGATGAAGTTTCTAAGTTAATCAATTTGGTGAGGCGTAACAGTGAAATAACCTGATTGGCTACACTTAGGTTGTGAGTCTACCCCTGTACCCAGGGTTAATCTCATGGAGTGAGTTGAGATACAGTGACTTTCCCAAAGGGAAGCTGGGGGCAAGAATCTTAGGTGGCCAACAAGAAGAGCTGTTCACAACATCCCTGTTTTTAAAGGGAACATGGAAGCTCAGAGAGGTTGGGTAGTTTTTTGAGTCACACAGCCAGGGAATGAAGACATTAGACTCCAAATGCAACTAAACATGAATGCCTTAGATTTTTCTTACTGCTTTTCCCATTGGTTTGCAGTAGTTTCTGTGGTTTCATTTTCCCCTGCTTTTCTAGTTCAAGTGCTCAGTACAAAAATACTTCAAACATGTATAAAGTTATTACGAAGGAAGTCAAATCCCTTGGAAGCGAGTCACTGCTCAGTGACTAACATGTGGTAGACATCTACCATGTGGGTCAGATGTGGGCTTTTACGGAACTCCAGACACACAATAAACATTTTCCCCCTAAAAGAACAACCAAATATTTATTTTTAAGATTTAGGGAAACCTAAGCAATGGGGGCCGAAGCCTCCTCGGGGTCTGCTGGGAAGTGGGCTGCAGCACTGGATGCCGACCCTCGATGCATTTCCAGCCTGGCAATCAGGCCTTTGGCTGGATTGAAGATGCCGTTGGTCTGTCTGTCGCAGACGTAGCAGCGCCGCGTGGTGCGGAAATGCTGCAGCGCACACTTCTCGCAGAAATAATGCCTGCATTTGGTGACAACTGGGTTCTGGAAGGTCTGTCGACAGATAAAACACCGGAACGGTATTTCCTCATCGTTGCTTCCCACTTCATAATCTTCGTCCTCACAGACCCCATAGCGACCCTCAGTGAGCTCACGCTCGATCTGCCACCCGTGCTTGTAATCTGAACGGTCATGGAGGAACTTGCAGCTGTCCCCGAAGCCGCAGAAGCCAGTCTCCTTGTAGTCCTTGCAGATGTCGGGCTGGTAATCCCAGCGCACAGTGGCCCGCAGATGCTCGGGGGCCCGGATGGGGCCCTTCCTCACCAGCCCGGAAGAGGCATTGCCCAGGGACGTATCTTTGGGCTTCATGTATTTCTGATAATTGTTGATTCCCCGGTAGATCTTGTCATCCTCCTTGCCCCTCAGCTCCTGCTGGATCCTCTGACTACGCTCAAAGATGGCTTGCGCGTCGAGCTCCTTCTCTGTGTCAAGCTCAAACATGGCTGTCGCCCCCATGTCCTCCGGCCCCACGGGTTTCGCCGAGCGGGTGGATTTGTAGACCACTCCCAGAGTCTCTGGCTCATTTCCTGGCTCCTCCTCGTCGCTGCTCAAGTGGCCACGGGATGCTCTCTGCTTAGCACTGCTGCGTGTCTTCTGTATCATTGGATTGTGGACCACTCGCTTCTTCTGCGGTCGGACCACTGTGCTGCCTTCATCGCTGCTACTTTGGTCACTGTCTCCGGACTCGGGGTGGCAGACCCGGCGCCCTCGGCGGCCTGCAGCCCCTCTCTGCCCAGGCTTTCTGAAGAGGAAGGTGCATACCTGATCTGTACTGTCCTCTGGAGAAAGCAGCTCCGCCATTGTGGAGTCCTGAGTTGGCGAGACAACAGACATGGGTTTGATCACAAACATGTCTGTTTGCATGGTTCTTAAATTCTTATTTATTCCATTTCATTTCATTTGAAAGGTAGCGATAAATGGATACACATCTATCTGAGCCTGGTACAGTAGCCTAAATGGCTAAAGTGCTTGCCTTGCATGCACTGGGATCTCATATAGGCGCTAGTTCATATCCTGGCTGCTCTACTTCCCTTCCAGCTTCCTGCCTGTGACCTGGAAAGCAGTCGAGGATGGCCCAAAGCCTTGGGACCCTGTACCCATGTGGGAGACCAGGAAAAAGTTCCTGGCTCCTGGCTTCCGACTTTCCAATAAAAAAATGAATAAATCTTAAAAAAAAAATCTTCTATCTGCTGCTTAACTCCCTGAATGCCTGTAACAGCCAGGGTAACAGCCAAGGTTGGGTCAGGTCAAAGTCAGGTGCCAGGAACTCCACCTGGATGGCAGGGACTCAACTACCTGCGTCATTGTCACCTGCAGCCTTCCAAGGGTGTGTGTCAGCAGGAAGCTGGAATCAGGAGCAGAGCCAGGACACTATCTAGCCACTCTGATAAATGGGATACAGGAGTCCCAAGTGGAGGGATTGAACTGCCAGCCAAATGCGCACCTAACAGTGTGTCTTTTTGCCCTTACCCCTTTTCCTCCTTTCTGTCCCTCCTCCATTATCCCAGAACTCCCTCCATACCTGCGGTTCAAGATGACCCAAGACAACAACGGAGATGTTTGCTTAGAGACTTCTCTCCAAGTCATGAACACACAGACAGACACAAACACCCATGCATGCATCCTGCTCTTAATTCCCACAGTATGCACTTTAAAAGGCATGGATGGTGGCTCTCTGAGCACCTAAGCATGGTGTCTGAGAGACCTTACCACGGAGGGAGCCCTGCTGGAGACCCTGCAAACTGTGCTCACTGCCTTGCAGCTTGGGAGGGAGTGTGAGAAGAGTGGGGCGCTCAGTCTCCACCATGGACATGGGTGTCAGCTGGGCCTGGGCTCCTGGCTTCCAGGTTTGCTTGCTGTGCTCAGGTGTGCCAGAACTCTGAATCCAAGTGAGCTGCCCTTGGCCCAGGAGACGTTCAACGCCTTCCTCTGTTCTCCTTGCGGCTCTTGTCTTTTTCCCCTTTCTCTGCAATGCTGACCAGCCCAGGGCCCAGGTGCTCTGCCCCAGAATCAATGGCCCCTGGGAAAGACTACAGGTGGTCCTGCCAACTCCTGCCAGGCATTCAAACTTTACAGTTTCCACTCAAATTAAAGCAGCCTCCTAGAGAGCATGAGCCAGCATCAACCCAAAACCAAAAGCCAGCAGGGGCTGGGACTGCCAATTCAGCTCTCTCAAGCCCAGCTCTCTAACAGTCTAGCATTTTTTCACTGCTTTCGTGTCTCTCAGCCAGCATGACACTTTAGAAGGAATTTAAGGTGTCTTTGGTTGTAGAAGGGCTCGGGAGGCAATTGCTGAGGAAGAGATGCAAGGATAAATGAGGGGACAGTCAGCATTGGGCAAACAGTTGACAAGGGAGAATCAAACAAGATGATGCATGAGATGGCATCTATGGATGGTGAACTAACACGGAGCCCTATAAGACTGCGACCTTATCTGCTGGCGCCACCTTCTGGAAGCAAATTACTCACAAGGCCCGTTTCTGCTTTAGTGGAACAGGAAGCTATTTGCAGGTGAAAATGCAGGCAAGGAACTACTAAAAACAGAAGAAAGATGGATGCCGTGGGTTAAGTTGCCTCTTTTCAGGATGCTGGCATCCCACACCAGACCATTGGTTCAAATCCTGACTGCTCGGCTTCCTATCCAGCCTGCTATCATGTGCCTGGAAAAGCAGCGGAAGATGGTCTAGTAAGACCAAGCATTTTTCTCAGTATCTGTGGCAGACTAAATATCCTCTAATAAATATTTCATTTTCTTCCACAAAGCATGAAACTTCAGAGTCCCTAAACCATCAGGAAACAGAGCTACAATGCCAATGCAGCCCCCAAAGAGGTGACACTAAAATATACATAGTGCGTGGCCACAAGGATACTGGTCAGGCATGAGCATCCTTGAGGGAGAGTCAGAGGTCAGGGAGGTCAGAGGGCAGGATCCCTCCTCCCAGAAAGTCATACTAGCTCAACTGCCAGAGAAAGATATCTGTTCAATCCTGGACTTTGGCTAACATGAATCATACGGTTAGGTCATCTATCTTGCATCTAAGCACATGGCACTCCCTGAATAAATGCCAGACTTCCTAACCTCTCTTATAGCCAGTTATGGCCATGTAACCAACTTCCGCCCAATAGGATATAAAAGAGATAATAACAGAGTCTAGAAACTTCCTTGAGTGATGGCAGAGATACACTTAATACTTCCACCTTTTCAGACTTGGATGCAGATGTAATGGAAGGAACTGCGGCAGTTATTCTGGTCCACACAGTGAGCTTAGGAATGGCAGTTTGTGTCACATATACAAACAAGATGAAAGGAACCTAATTCCCAGAATATTTCACAGCATAAACCATCAAGTCAACTTCAAATTTCCCATGGTCAACTTTTACAGGAAAGGGCAAGTAAAACAACTTTTAACTTGCTAGTGTCACTACCATCTTGGTTCTTCCCAGACCAACTCAACCCTAACAGAGACAGCACCCAGCAGTGAACAGTTCAACAGATTTCTGCCTCCTGCCATTGATCCCCTCATCATGAATGAGCCGTGCGAAAAGTGACAGGCCCTCCGCCTTAGCGGCAAGGAAGCCCAGAGAATGTTGTTTGTTTTTTCATTTTCTTTTTTATTTATTTAATTCATCTTGATTACAAAGAGTAGAAGGAAAGAGATGAAGGAGAGGAGGAAGAGGGTAAGAGGGAGGCAAAGAAAGATCTTCTATCCACTGGTTCACTCCCAAAATTCCTGTGGCCAACTGAGATTGGGCCAGGGTGAAGCCAAGAATTTAAAACTAAATCTGGATCTCCCATGTGGGGGCAGGAACCCAATCATATGGGCCACTCCTCCTGCCTTCCAGGATGTGCACTGGCAGGAAGCCACAGCATCCTCAGCACTGGGCCAAATGCTGGCCCCTTGTTCTGCTTTTTATTTATTTTTTTAAGATTTATTTATTTTTATTAGAAAGTGAAATTTACAGAGAGAAGGAGACACAGAAAAATCTTCCACTTGCTGGTTCACTCCCCAAGTGGTCACAATGGCCAGAACTGAGCTGATCTGAAGCCAGGAACCAGGAGCTTCTTCTGGGTTTCCCACACAGTTGTAGGGTCCCATCCTCCGCTGTTTTCCCAGGCCACAAGCAGGGAGCTGGATGGGAAGTGGAGCAGCCGGAATATTAAGGCACCCATATGGGATCCCAGCACATGTAAGAAAAGCACTTCAGCCATTAGACTACCACCCTAGGCTTTGTTCTATTTTTTAAAAACTATTTTGGTGAGAGCCCGGCACGATAGAGTAGTGGTTAAAAGTCCTTGCCTTGCACACCCGGGATCCCATATAGGTGCCGGTTCTAATCCTGGTGGCCCTGCTTCCCATCCAGCTCCCTGACTGTGGCCCGGGAAAGCAGTCGAGGATGGCCCAAAGCCTTGGGACCCTGCACCCACATGGGAGACCCAGAAGAGCTCCTGGCTTCGCATTGGCTCAGCTCCAGCCATTGTGGCTGCTTGGGGAGTGAACCATCGGATGGAAGATCTTCCTCTCTGTCTCTCTTCCTCTCTGTATATCTGCCTTTCCAATAAAAATAAATAAATCTTTTTAAAAAAAAAAACTATCTTGGTGAGGCAAAAAAAAAAAGACAAAATTGGAAAGAAAGGATTAAATCTGCATTATTTAAAAATATTTTTAAAATCCAAGGGGCTTAAGCAGCAAGAATTTATTCCCTTACAGTTCCAAAGGCTGAAGACCAAGAGCCAGGATGGTCCCGTCCTGAGAAGAGCTCTCTGCCTGGGTCGGGCAAGGTCACCTTCTTGCTGTGTCCTAACATGGAGGGGAGGAAGAACATGAGCAAGGCCCTTGCACTAATTGACTTAATGAGAGAATTTAGCTATTTGGACATACATACAACACTCAAGTTGCAGGAATCATGAAATAAAATCTACCGCTTAAAACAACAACAAAAATGCTAATATGCCTAGAGACTAATCTATAAAAAATGTGCCACATCTTTATAAGGAAAATGGTAAACCTCTACTCTGAGACAAATGAAAGTATATATCACCTTCTTAGATGGGAAAGACATAATTCCCCAAAGAAATCAGTCCTCCCTATGTAGATACATAAATTCAATGCAATTCTAATAAAATGCCATGAGAATTTTTCATAGGAGTTGATAAGCTGATTCTAAAAATCACATGTGGTTGTGGTGGGGTGTCCAGCCTAGCGATTAAGATGGCTAGCATGTCTGCACCTAGAGCCAGTGCGACAGCATGGTAAGTTAAGATGGCACCTATGATACTGGCATCTCATACGAGCCCTGAATCAAGGTCTGGCTGCTCTGCTCCCAGTGCAGCATCCTACTAATGTGTCTGGGAAGGCAACAAAGATGGTCCAAGTGCTTGGAATTAAAATTCACATGAGAGTATAATTATGCAAGTAAAGCAAAGACTACTATTGAAAAAAATTAGAACAATGTGTCTTGACAGGTACAAAAGTATGCAGCATACTGCCAGTAGCTGAAACATAGTAGTTTGATTTTACAAACAAATCATTCAAGTATAAATCTAGCATTGAACTTAATGAAGATTTCTTATATATTGAAATGTTATTTCAAATAATGGGGGAATGATGAATTATTCCAGAAATGCTACTGTGTCAACTGGATAGACCTGTGGGAAAACAAATTACTCTGGTTATACCGCATGCCATTTCCAAATATAAATCCTAGGTGGATGAAACAACTAAATATAAGATTAAATCAAAAATTAAAATTCATAAAACTATTAGAAAAATAGAAAATATGCTGATCATCTGGGAGTAGGAAGGCTTTCC